GGGGAGCATTGTAAAAAATTGCGTTTGCGACGGTGTGCATAAATAAATAAATAAATAAATAAAAACGGACACCTCTCTACTGTGAGGTGGGTAAAAAAGAACACTACAGGTCCCCGCCCTTGCGATCTTTGTGCAGGGTTCTTTATGGGTGTGGTCGGCGACTAGCCGGGGTCATCCTCCCGCCGATATGGGGGACTAGCACTAGCCGTCTTCCACATGGTCCCTCGGGTCCCTGCTGCTCCTAATCTCTTCGTACATCCTCCTGCTGATCTCCGCAAAGTCCTGCTCCCTCCCTCGTCTCGCCCTGCGCGTCTGCTCCGCCTCACCGTCTTCTGCCCTGCGTCGTCTGGCGACGGGTCCTCCATAGTCGCGTCGAGGTCGCCGCCCTCCTCTCGTGCCTCTTCCCAACGTTCCCTCGGCGGCCGATGCCGTCTGCTCCGGCTCCCCAGTCCCCGGGTCTGCCCGCGACGGTGTGCTATATATCTGTTTTTCTCAATTTGTGCGACCCCGAGGGCGTGTGTGTCTCGCGCCGGGATGTATCAAGAGAGTTTCGCCTGTCCTCCGGAGTCGGAAAACACCTCTGGGGGGAGGCGGGGGCCCCCGGAGGCACCGTGCGCCACGCCGCAGGGTGCGCAATCGCCGGCGAGAGGATTCCACACCATAAAAAATGGAAAACATATTAGACAAGTGTGAAGTGAAAAATCGTGCGCAAAAAAGGGCAAGGCTGGACACACTGCGCGCGGAGGACGGCTTTATTGAGATCTATCGGTGATCATACAGATGCACGAGTCACGGCTCACGCGACTGTCACGCATGTCCGGATGTACTCACCGCACTGTGTCCACACTGCGCACTCGCTGCGGCCCCGCGAGGCGCTAGTTGTGTGTTGCTGTGCCGACTCAGAGCACAGCTAACAGCTATCCCAGCTTGCAGCTACCTACGCGCCTCCCTCGCATGCACCCTCCCACCCACCCCCGCCCTCCCGCTCAAAAGTTGCTGCCACGCTTGACAGCCATGCACGTCGGAGCGCAAATAGACAGTCCCCGCCCACCCCGGGTGCGCAGCAATACGGCGCACTGACTCCCCCACGCCCCCCCTCCCCCCCTCCCGCCCCGAACGCGCCTCCACTCACACCTCCGAGTCCCGCTCCTCGTCGTGTTTCGTCACGAGGGGCGCGGCTTGCGCGTCCTGC